CAACAAACATGACGCCACGATGAAAAAGATTTAAATAAATCCTTAATTCTTAAAATTAAAGCTTTTGATAGAAAATCTTACTGCTTACAAACTTGTGAGCACGTGGCTACTACGAAGCAACACAGAGCTAGTCCACACATAATAACAGATTGTTACCAATAATCATGAAGGAGCAAAAAGACAGTTGTCATTAGGAAAAAAAGCAAACCTCAGCACGTCCAAACGAATGGTTCTAATTTCATCACTCATTTGCTCTTGCGGTAAATAAATTCGCTAATTCGTGTGTAATTCTTACTAATGACAGTTAAGAACGTTCGCTAGAAACGCTTTAATGCTGGGTTTGAGCAAGTCCTCGGTCGTCAGTAAGGGGGTTTTCATTAAGACGACTAATTGCGGAACTGCGTTTGAAAAAGTTGCAAGATTTTGCTTTTTACCTGGATGGTATATAGGGAGTGTGTTACTGTAGATCATCATGATCATTACATCACGCCTTTTTATCCCCGAAGGGGTAGGCAGAAGTGCACATTACGGCACTTAATGCCACTGTACAATGTAACACCCACTTTTCACTATTTATGTTATGAGTCCCCATGTAATAGGGGGTGAGCCTATTGCCATATACCGGGCACAATTCCAGACTCTGTGCTATCAATGAGATTTTTGAAAAATCCCAGTAATACTTTGCGCGACCCGGGAATCGAACCCGAGACCCCTTGCCCGGCAGTCGCACTTGCGACCACTCGGCCAACGAGGCAGTCATTGTAGATATAAACTAATTTCTTATTTATTTATATTAAAGAATTCCTACACACAAAACCTTTAACACTGCAAAGTTCAGACAATCTTGCGGTGAAATAAATACATTTAAAACATCTATAATACTTTGTTCAAAAAGTAAACATAGAAGTAGCATCAAACGCCGAAGCCAATAAAACGGTCAGCTTTACGACAGACATAAATCAAGTATCGATACACTATCGGTCATCAAAGTCGTCACAGTGAAACCACAGCTTAAGTCGTTCTAAAAACAAGTATTACTTGTTTGTAGACAAATAATTATTGTCTTTAAGTGTAATATTAAATGTGGGTGTTAAGCCAGGTTAAGCAATTGTCAACGCGGTTTGGATAATAATGGGTAATATGTTTTTAAAGTACAAATTCGTTTTGTGGACTTATTTTTAATTTTTAATCCGTTAGATATTCTTGCTGAGGAGTTGGTATTGTGTTTCCTGATATTATTGTCTATTATGCTGATGCATTTTTGTATCGGTATCGGAACGGTTTTCCTTTCAAACAATAAAATAAAATACCGCGTATTATTTTACTATCAATAGCTACAGCACAAATCAATGTTTACTAACACAAATCATAACTTTATACCTCTCAATAGTTGCACATGCGATGTCCAAGTCATCGGCTTATTTTTTTTAAATCTATGTGGAAATCTTTGGGTCCAGGTAGTATTCTATCGATAGCTGTTATATTGTAAAAAGGCGTAAGTCAAGGGACACCTGTGTTACGCATCTAGCACACGTATTAGACAAAAAATACTGACTCGCCTATTTGTGCATCGCATTGGATTAGTGTGGATCATCATCTGCCCATTTCCGATCACTTCTGTACAATGCACATTGAGCCTCTTCTACGCCACTGAGCTTAATTTTGAAACCTTTGTATTCGAATACTGCAAACTGCTTTGTGGATATAGCCAATCCACTTTAATGGATCTAGATGATACTAATTTAGTACATTGATGAAAAATTTATAAAAAAAAAATGATGAGGCACCTACTACAATATAATGTAGGTGTTATGAAAAACGAATTAGGTTATTCAGATCTAAGCCCAATAAACATAGATGCTCTACTTTTCTGAACACTGACTGCAACGCAACGTAGGTAAAACGTCACCAAAGTTTTCCTCAACTAAGCACAACTTCCAATCTCAGACACAAACATTAATACAACTAGCAAGATCCATACAATTCTTACCGTTGCATTAAAGCAGGATAGCTATATGTCCATCTCGTTCTCTCACTGGTCGCTCGCTGCACGTGTGTCATGAAAACGGGTTTCGCTCGCGGACGGACCAAGATTTTATTAATTCGTGTTTCTTATATATTTTGTATATTACTTCTTCGTCGCTCCTGTTTGCCTGGTACCTTTACATCGATATTGTTGATAACAAATTGCTTTTCTTTGTTCTGTCATGGCTTTGTTTTGCTTTAAAATAAGGTCAAATAAAAGCTAATATAAATGCTACCTGAGGTGATGAATTTGTTGCCAGCGTTTCCAATGATTGGATCTAGGTTTTTGCGATGTTGATTAAGTGCAGCCATTTTGTTGGCGTATGGACTAACCGTGATATTTACAAATATTTCTATTTTTATTGCAATATAAATCTCGTAATATTTTTACTCGTACCTACTCATCAAGATCACTTGATGGTGGCTGGTCATCAGACGAGGCCAACAAAATAGGCCGGTGTTTTAAACACTCTTAGCTCAGATTTAGCTAGAACTAGAATTGGATTTTTTTTTCTCCTTTTTCTGCATTCGGACTGATTATTACTGCGACAAAAATTTAACTGGACTATTTGTCTTTCCATTTTCATAATTAAAAATACTGTGCGAATAAACATTGCATCTGATTCTTTGCATTTCCTCAATATTGGCCTTGGCAACACCCAAAAAGGTAGCAGATGAAATGGTATTTAAAATATTAATCTCAAAATAAGCACATCAGAATATACCCTCAAGGATTTTGTTTCCAATACATACCCAGAACCATTTTAATCAACTTAATTGACTGCGATACAGCGATTAACAAATTCTTTTATTATCTTTGAATATTCATCATCTTTGAAAAGTTAATTTAATAATGATATCTTTTGATATCTTTCTGTACGATTGATGGATTTGGATTAATCGTTAAAATTATTTATGGAACGTCTGGACAGGAACAATCAAACTGTTTCGGAACCAATCGTTAAATTTGACGAAAAGCGTTGGATGATCGCTACTGACAGTCCAGCTAACATTCAAGTCTTTCAATTATGCAAGTACAATTTTGAAGGCAATCTATACAATTGGATAAAACAGTGAGCACCTTATGCGCAGAGGCTAGTAGGCAAAAGCTTAATTTTTTTATGGCATAAGCCTGTAAACGAGTGGACGGATCACCTGATGGTAAGCAATCGCCGTCAACCATGGATATCTGGAACACCAAGGCGTTACAGGTGCGTAACCGGCCTTTTGGGAATTGGGAATTTGAGGATTGTAGAGGATTCGGGATTGGGAAGACTGGGGCGGTAATTGAGCCTCCGGTTACCTCACTCACACGACGAAATACAATTCATCACTCAGTTTTCTTTCTCCAAAGGGCTTTTAGCTTTATTACAAAACAATAAAATTGAAAATCTATTAAAAGATTCGAGGTGACTTGAGGTGCTGGTCTTAACCTACGTTATACTTTCTTCCATTTGGTCCAGCTCCACATTTATACCAACCACACATAAAAAGTTATTGGACAACGAAATCATTAGCTACTGCACATTTCTGTGGTCAAAACCCTATTGTTTCGACCACACGGATGAACAAAGAGACCTTATGTTACAAAATGACCACAATTGTTTTTGGAGAAAATAACATACTTATTCCATACATTTAAGTAAGAAGTTGTAAATTCTGAGTTGTCATTGTCTCTTCTGGAATGGTAGGAGCTTTACGATTACTGTGTGCTCTGAAATTTCATAATACATATCTGAAGAGGTTTTTATTACTGCCTTGTTGGCCGAGTGGTTGCAAGTGCGACTGCCGGGTAAGGGGTCTTGGGTTCGATTCCCGGGTCGGGCAAACTATTATTGAGTTTACAAAAAAATCAGTAGCACGGAGTCTGGAATTGTGCCCGGTTTAAGGCAATAGGCTCACCCCCTATTACATGGGACTCATAACATAAATAGTAAAAAGTGGATGTTACATCGTAGTGTACATGTGTATAGAGTAGGCAGAGCCCTACCCCTTCGGGGATAAAAGGCTCAATGTTATGTTATGAGGTCTAACACGATCTAGTTCTATAAACATATTAAGAATAAAGAGTTGCTGTAACAGGTATTATTATTATGAGCTTCTTTTTATACACTAATCACAAATCCAGGCTCCACGTCTTTGGAGAGAACCAAAAACAAAAAACCAAACTATAGACTTGAGAACTTCAGAAGCAAAACAAATCGAAAATCATTAATTGCCCGCAAAAAAGGGTCTATAGACCGACCACTGACCCACACTAGCGACCCGTAGACGTTACAAGAAGAAAAAAGAATAGACAAACCTAAAAGAACACAGACCTCAAAGTCGGGGACCTCGCTAAAAATAAAACGCCGAAAAGTTGACCAGAGCCAACCCACGTGAACATTACGCGCCGGCAACGTAGGCGATATTGCTAATAAACATTTTGATTTATAACAAGAGATATTGCATTTAATGTTCTTTTTACTTTAATAGTCTGGTTTACAGAGATAGGCTTCGTTTAATTATAATAGCTGTATTCTTTAATGTGTCAACGAAAAAGGCGAAGGAGAAATTCTTTGCGAGTCAATTCGAGTCGAGTTTTGTTTATAAAGTCTATGTCTAAATATGGACGTGGCTTGCAAGGTATTTGATAGTTGACCGCAACTTAGGAATCTGTTTATGCAATCCGCAAGCTTATCATTGAATGTTTCAGAAATATTATTTAAGTTTGGTCGTTTGTTGGATACTTAAACTTCATCGATGCTTTTTATTATCGTCGAAATTATGCCATACTGCATTAATTTTAATATTTTGTTTACTAAACGTCTTATGTGTAGCTCGTAACAGTTTGCTATTAAAACAACCTTACATGTTTTACTATTTATACTAGCAGAGTCTCGGAGAGTTGAAATTAACATCCATCAAAACAATGAGACAATTTTTATCACGAAATGTACTATTTCATCTACTAACCACAACATTTTTGTCCACAGAACGCCCATATTCCGAATCGGACATCCCACAACCATCGACCCAAATCCAGCAGTGTCGCCGATCAGCATCGTCACCACCGCTCACTCTAACCCTCGATTCAGACCTCGAAGACGATGTCTTTGCTCCAAGATCTGATAGAACCAACGACTTATTTTCCACTAGGAACTTAGACATCTTCGGCTATGGAAGTCCTAGGACACCAGCTGGAGTGCTTCTAAGTCCTAGGAGGGAGAGGACGTTCAGCTTTTCAATGACCAGTGAGAAACACTGGAGGGATAAGGGAGGAACAGATGTTGCTGATGGAGTGACTCCTGGTGAATTGAGTGACGCTGAATGCGATAGAGATAATATGGATGAGGTGAGTGAATTACTTTTTGTCGTTTAAGTCTTTGACTGCCAGTAAAAAACTAATGAAGGCACATCCTCCACTAACGTCGGTCACCGGTGACCTCCACGGCGTTTAATGTGTTATTGATATCTTTTGATTTATTTCGTTGCGAGATCCAAGACAATAGTTCATGTCCCAGGGACGCGCTGGACTTCAATGTTTCGGTATTTTCATGGTTGTATCTACTGATTTTGACTTTCAATAATTACCTAATAGGAGTGCAGCAGTAGCTGGTTCCAAGTTCCATGTTTTTGCTCTTGTCGAACGATAGCGTGTCCATAAAATTGTTCAACTGTTAAGCGGGAGAAAATAGATTGAAAAGGTTTTTCATATAAGTAGTAATTGAAATGACATCTAAATATTATTTTGTTTTTAAACCAACTAGGACATATACAGCTAAAATTATGTGCGGTTGATGAGATAATTAATCCAGATTTATAATAAATATGACCTGCCAATCTAACCTAGATTAATAATGTGAAATACGACCATTCCATACAATGCAAAATTAAACATTTATTACGTTGAACTAATTATTTAGCCGCACAAAGGTCAATACTCTCACGCACTGATTAAATCATATTAACAAGCCAATTAGACATTTAACATGTATCAATTAAGTTATAAAATCAAATGACAATTATAGTTTATTGCGCATTAATAAAAACGAAATAAGTATATGACAAAAATAGATGTTTTTGTAAAAACGGCACGTGTTCAACTTGGTCTTTGTTTTGTGTAGTGATTCATTTCTATCAGTATATATGTGTACCTATTTATATACTATGTTTGTTGTTATAGTAAACTCATAGTACATTGTTATGTTATGATGTATGAAATAAAGTTGTGTTGATATTATATAATTACTGCGTTTAAATACACATACATAACATCACGCCTTTTATCCCCGAAGGGGTAAGCAGAGGTGTACATTATGCTACTGTACAATGTAACACCCACTTTTAACTATTTATGTTGTGAGTCCCATGTAATAGGGGGTGAGCCTATTGCCATATACCGGGCACAATTCCAGACTCCGTGCTACTACTGGGAATTTTTGAAAAACCCAGTAATACTTTGCCCGACCCGGGAATCGAACCCGAAACCCCTTGCCCGGCAGTCGCACTTGCGACCACTAGGCCAATGAGGCAGTGCGTTTAAATAATAGTTCAATAACTGCAACGATGAATTTACATAGTGTGTATTTTTGTTTACATATATTGTACAGTCGGATTTAGTGCCGTAATGTGTCCTCATATCCCTTCGGGGATAAAAGTCATGATGTAATAAACAAATAATTAAGTTATTGTGGCTATTTTGTGTAGGTTTATAACAATGTCATTTAGGTTCAATAGGCTCAATTACTCAACCATTTATTAACTTAGAAAGATATTCAAATATACATTAAATTACATAGCAAACACTGTCTAAAAACTACTAAAGAACATAGCGCCTGATTAAAAAATAAAAGTTGCATACGCGCAGCAACTTGCTATTAAAAACTGTCAGGCGCTTGATACTGTTTCTCGTTATTAAGTTTAAAGTGTACGAAGTTTTGTAATTAACTTTGTTATTTAAAATTGTGTTGCATTGTTGAGGAACTACTTAGGTACACTGAATCTTGAATGTGTCTTATCGCTTTGTTGCTTTGACAAGATTATACCAGATTTGGGAATTTGTCGTTTACCCGTAGGAATTTTCGAAACATTTTTGCTTAATTTTAGTTGTAAGTTATACAGTTACAATAATATTTTTTTATGTTGTATGGACAAGATGAGTACTTAGTACCTACCTATTACACAATTTTCAAACTTATCCTTACTATTATAAATGGGAGGGTGAGTTTGTTTGTTTGTTTGTTCCGCTTTCACGCCGTAACTTCTAAACCGATTGCTTTGAATTTTTGCAGGCGTAAAGTTAGAAGTTTGGAATAAATATTAGGGTACTTTTTATCCTGGAACATTTTGATTTTCGCGAGGGAAAACAAAAGAATTGGTATAGATGGCGCTGTGTGTATTGGTACATGTCACATAGGCTACTTTTATGCGACCCTTTGGTGACGCGAGCGAAGCCGCGGATAAAAGCTAGTAGGTAATAATTGAACGTTTTAATGTTAATTTCATGAATCTAAATGATGTTGAAATTATTTTATCCTGTTCTACTTACTTGCAAATTATGTTTCTAGAACAAAATTTACAAACACAACTGAAGCAAAATAATGAACTTCGCATTCATATTGCATTTATTACTATTTACATAAGATCTTCATAAATAACGAAGCAAAGTGGTTTCAGTATTTTCAGATTTCATAACTGAAAATCAAAAATAAACAAAGTCAGGTCATATTTTATACTTTCAATGGACTTTAGTTGGCATATCGCCAAACTAAGCATTGTGTGATTAAAATAAATTCATCTGTGTTTATGTATAAGGTAGAATATTGAATAAACAATTATGAGACTGCCTTTATTGTTTAGTAAATATTTTATTATTTTAACTAACACTACAATTAGTATATTAGGGAAGGTGTCTAATTAGACACGGATTATTTATTTACCTACCCTACAGAAACAATTACTTTCCCACGATATATTTTTTTATGGCATAAACGAGCAGACGGATCACCTGATAGTAAGCAATCGGCGTTGCCCATAGACACCTGAAACACCAAGGCGTTACAAGTGTATTACCGGCCTTTTGGGGATTAGGAATTTTAGGATCGTTGGAATTCAGGAATTGGGTAGATTGGGGAAGGGGAGGGTAATTGGGCCTCCGGTAACCTCACTAACACGACGAAACACAACGCAAGCGTTGCTTCACGTCGGTTTTCTTAGAAACACAAAGAAAGTCTCATTAAAAAGCTCCTATAAAATTCGTAAATAAACAAACCAAACTACGGACTGATGTTAATCGTATCGTTCCAAATATTGTGCAATCGTTGTTCATAAATAGTTCGTTTACAAGCTGTATTCGATAAACTTAGTTTATTTGACAGATCCAGGTCACTGGTTGACAGAATTGTGGGATGATTTATATATTGTAATAAGTCATCCTTGTTGTACGGTAGTTTGATGGTGAAGTTACGATAAGTTTAAAATCAAAAGCGAGTAATGGTATTAGCCGTGTAATGCTAGTAATATCCATCTAATAGCAGAATTAATAGTCATTATCACAAGTATAACAGTTCACACATAGGGCCCACTTAGTTTTAGTCAAATTTCCGTGGTGCTTAGTGACTGGACTTCACCCAGTTATACAGTCTCTTTTTGTGCCTTTAGGCTTAATTCACTCTGTCTCCTGCAGTAATTCACATTGGGAAGTGAAAACTATCGTTTGTTTTTCTTCTCCTCTTATAATGTCTTCCGATTCATTTCTTTGCGGGAACTAAAACAGTTGTCATGTCCCTGAGACGCGCCAGACTTCAGTGTTCCGGTGTTTTCATGGTTGTATCTACTGTAGATCCTGGCTTACAAGAGTTGCAGCGGTTTTGGGAGGTTGTGGCAGGCTTGTCCTTCAAGTCATTCTCAAACCAGTTATATATTGTGCATCATGTATTTTCCTTCTCGCATAGAAAAGGGCAGAAGATATTTAAATTAATATTATTGTTGAATGTTATTATACTTGGCACATTTTCCACTTTTTGTCAATTAGGTATAATAATTATTCTGTGATTTTTTTGTCATAGAAGGATCTTATTGACCCTAGGTATCTGTTTTCATTACATTACTGAACTCTTCAAAGTCAAAGTCGAAGTCAAAATAATTTATTTCAATTAGACCAGGAAGGCACTTTTGAACGTCAGCCAGCAATAGAAATTTTAAAATGAACGTCAGCAATAAAACTTCAATCAGGAACACAATGCGATACGGCTTTAAAAGATTTTCAGCCTTCACAAACAAAACAAAACAAAAAATCTCCATTTAATCTCACTTTAGCTTAACACTTAAAAGTAAACGTAAAACTGTACATTATTGTAGTATTTAGTACCAACATTATTGCTTAGTCAGCCGACGAGCGATGAATTTTATTGGCTGAATGTGAAAGAGAATGGCGGATGAGTCAAAAAGTAATGCTCAAATAAAATTAACGATAGCCTTAGGCAATTGAGTGATGAATAAATCTGCTTTTTATTGGTTGACGTTTCAATGGGGAGTTCAAAGTGAGGTTATGTTACTTCCAATTACTTTTGGATATTGCGACGGTAATCGTGAGTGATTTTGCGAAGAAATTTATTGTCATGGTTTGACAATGGTGTCAGAATTAGGTTAGAGTAGTGATGATATCATAATAGTTTGTTTCATGTTGTGTTAAATGGTCCTGATTTAATTATGTTTTAACTTTTAAGGCACGAATAGACGATTGAACTAGTCCGCCACGGACCATATGCGATAGTGTGTACAGCGCTCTGGCGCATATTTTCAATGGATACCATCATACATGGTGGCGGTTCAGTTCGATTGCGTCTATTTGTGCTTTTACACTTTTTGATCTATGTATCGTAGGGGTGTTTACAAACAAATATTTGACATTTCAAACATTATGTTTTTAAAGTAATTCTATAGAGGTAATTTTTTAGTACGTATCTGTGCTAATTGTGTACTATTTAAATTAGACATAGGCCCAAGTGAATAGGTTGCTTATGGAACGACGTGTCATCGCTTACGACCAGGCGAGATAGTAGTCAATCGTAGTAAAAAAAAATATATTACAATTTTCAGTTATTTTATTCATAAATCGAAATGAAGTTAAGAATACACTAAGAACAGATCTTCATTTTAAAAACAAAGCCATGGTAATGTCTGCTCTAACTATACCAGCATAAAACTTATGACCTTGCTGGCTACAAATATAGCCATACTTGTATTTTGTATAGCAATAAACTGGTGCAAATCTTAGCCAACTGTAACAACAGGCCCGGTTTTAGTACATGCTAAAGGCACCAACCTTGGGTATGGTTAGTGGCAAGAGTA